TTATATTTAGGGCGATATTTTTTCTTTTACAAAGCATCTAATTACTTTTTTTTCCTTTTTTTTTCTTTTTTTTCCCTTTCTCCTTTTCCAAAAGATGATCTACAAGGCACAGAAGGCAACGCCGGCCAATATAATTTTTGTTGTTGTCGTCGTCGTCGTTGTTGTTGTTACTCTTCCTATTAACCTCCCGACTTCATTTGAAATTAAAGCAAGCAGTAAATCAGCGCGGAGACGGTTTTTTCGGGGGGCAAAATTTTTATTTATTATTATCAAGAAATCACATAATAATACATTATTTATTTAATTTATTATTATTATTATTATTATTATGAAGCATCTTTTTTTTGTTGTTGTTTGTTTTTTTACATGATAGAAAGCCAGAAACGTGCTATAACAGACATTTGCATAGACCCTACATAGAATAATAGCTTGAGGTAAGAACCATTTACATGTGGACTCTACTTGCCAGGGGGGGAATTGCGGGTTAACAACCTAAACTAAGGCGATACAAGCAGGGAGGGAGGGTGGGGGGAAACAACGCCACGCACACGGAGAACGAACACAGGACGAACAGAAATCCCACCGAGTCGCCCCTTTTTTTTTTTTTTTTAAAGCGATCCTGGAAGAGAATATTGCATATATTTTCGATTTTTTTTCGGCCTTTTTTTTCCTTCTTACCCCACCCCGCTCCCAGGGGTTGCTCGCTGGTGTCTCGGTTTTTGTGTCGGGGGTATTTTATTTTTATTTTAAATTTTTTTTCTTTATTTTAATTTTATTTTCTTTGAATTTATTTGAATTTTTTTTTGTGTGTGTAAGGGGGAAACAAGAGCCCCCCTCGGCGGGTGAAGAATAACGAAACGGATTGATTTGTTTTTCGGGAGGGTGGGATTGAAACCCAACACAGCTTCTCTGACATCTCCCCGTAACTCACCCCTCGTTTCTCCCCTTTCCTCAACCCCCCCTCAACCTCCCCCCGGGGGTTTGGGCTCAGCAAAACCCGGGTGGGTTCGGTCCCTTTTAATTTTTTAATCCCCCCCCTTCCCCACGAGTGGAATTCCATCCACCACCCGAAAATCCCCCCACCCAATTTTTTTTTAAATTTTTTTTAAAAATTAATCTCCCCAAGACATTGCATTCCTCCACATTGCACACGGTCGGGCTGGAGCATCCAGAGATGAAAATTTCATATATTTCCCCTTTTTTTTTTAACACATCCAGGGTTTTATTGCACAGGAGAGACCCCTCGGCTTTGGGGGGAGACTCTTTTTTTTGGGGGGGTGGGAGGGGCAAAAAAAAAGGGGGACCCTCACCCAGAAGGAGGAAATCGAGGAGTAAGGGGGTGAATTTCTTCGTAAAAAAAACAAGGGGAAGGGAATAAAGACGTGACATTTGCCGGCTTGGGAATTTTTAAAAAAAAATTTAAAAAATTAAAATACTACCCCCCAAAAAAAAGGGAGGAAAGAAGGGGATGGAGGGGGAATTTGCAGGAATAAATGAAGGAAAAGGTTCCTTCTACCCAAGGAGTGATTTTTTTTTTTCCTCTCTCTTTCTTTTTTTTTTTTTTAAGGAGTCGGCTCCATCCTTTGCAGCTCGTAAATAAAAGCATTCCTCGGCGCTGCTGGTCATGACCATGAACGCGGGGGAAGCGGCAGCACGTGGTGAGCGTCCAGACTTCCCAGAAAACGCTGCTTTGCCATAAAAATTAATCCCCCCTCCCCGCCTCTCCTCGATATAAAATCGAGCAAAGCGCTGCACCGGCGGCCCCTTCTTCCCCTCCTTCCACCTGAAATTAAAATTACTATATTTTTTTTTTTAAGCTTTTTTTTGGAACCCGAAATTACAATTTCCGAGCAGGCAAAGCTTCCCGGGGCCCTAAATCTGCTTCTCCCCCTGTCCTAATCCACTCTATTTTTTTTCCTTTTTTTTTCTTCTCCTCAGTCTAAAAATGCCTTGACCGGGAATACGGAAAAATGGGTGGTTTTTCCTCCGGGAAAGGCGAGTTCAAGTACAAAGGGAAAAAAAAAAAAAGCGTCGCATCCTTCCAGGCCTCTTTTTATTGCCCTGAAAAAGAGTGACCGGGAGACAAAAAAACGCGTCTCGAGGAACCCCACGAAGGGTGGGAGATGCACCGAGCCCCTGGAACCTCAGGGTACCAAAAAGAAGGAGAGGTTTTTGGTTTTTTTTTTCCTATTTAATTTCCTACATCTTCACCGAACCCCTCCAGCGCACCAGAGTTCATCCTTCCTTTAAAATTCCCGTTTTTCTTCGGAGAGGGAGGATGTCGTTTCAGGGGTAGAAAGGCTGGGAATTCGGAAAGAAGGGGGAAGAAATAATAAAAATAAAAGATAATAATGTCAGAAAGGCTCGGGGTTTTGGAGGGAAATTCAGATTATTTGGGGGTTTTTTTGGTTTTTTTGGTTTTTTTTTCCCCTGGGAGGGTTTTCAGCGGGAGGGGAGGGGTGGGTGGGAAGAGGGAGAGTTTTCCTTCTCCTGGTGACATCCTGGCGTTGGGGGCAATCCCGAAGCCTCGCATCCACGGGGACCGAGTGTGACCCACAAAACCTCCTCTATTATACAGATATATTCCATTTACACCGCGGGTAGTACACAGCCTTTGTCTGACGCCTCTGCCTGGGGATCCTGATCCAACTCGGGGATCCTGATCCAACCCGGGGATCCTGATCCAACCCAGAGATCCTGATCAAACCCACAGATCCTGATCCAACCCACAGATCCTGATCCAACCCAGAGATCCTGATCCAACCCGGGGATCATGATCCAACCCAGAGACCCCGATCAAACCCACAGATCCTGATCCAACCCACAGATTCTGATCAAACCCAGAAATCCTGATCCAACCCAGAGATCCCGATCCAACCCACAGACCCTGATCCAACCTACTGATTAAACCCAGAGCCGCTGATCAGTCTCAGTGTCTCTGATCAATGATCAGTCGCAAACCCTCAATTTACACCGAGAAAATCACATCCTAATACAAAAAAAAAAGCATCTTCCACAGCGATGCGGGGTCGGTCCCTTAAGACAACCCCCCTCCCCATCCCCTTCGCCTTTCCCTTTTACCCCCATATCTTAATTTTTACTCTTCCTCCCCCCCTGCTTTTTCCATCGAATCATCCCGGGAGATGCTCCAGGATCCACTTTCATCCCGGGGGGCGATGGGGCGAGGGGAGGGGACCCCCGACGGCCCCGACGGTGCCCGGCGCTGCACGGAACCCCTACCTGTGCTCCTGGGAAAGGGCTAAAGTGGCTCCCAAAACCTTCCCTTCCATCCCGATGAGCATCTCTGGAAGCCGTCCCGGTGGAGAAGATGCAAGATTCTTATTCTTATTAATTTTCTCTCTCTCTCTCTCTCTCTCTCTCTCTCTCTCGCTGTCGTGTTTTCGTATTTTAAGGGAAACTGGTTATTTATTGAGATTATTTCTTTATTCATCGGGAGGGGGTTGGGGGGGATTAAGAGTGATCAGGTGAAGTCCCGGGAGCTCGGGGTCAACGCTTAGAGAGTCTGTGAGGGTTTTGGTTGGGTTTGGTTATTGGTTTTTTGGTGTTTTATTTTTTT